GGAATAAATGCTAGGGTTTTGGAGAGGGGTGGATTAAATTATGGGGAATCAAATTCAAAATGGGAATTGACACATTTTACTTTTTGCTGATGATACTGTGCTTATGGGAGATTCTAAAAAAATTGCAAAGGTTAGTGGATGAGTTTGGGATGTGTGTAAGGTAGAAAGTTGAAAGTGAACATAGAAAAGAGTAAGGTGATGAGGGTGTCAAATGATTTAGATAAAGAAAAATTGGATATCAAATTGGGGGGGAGGAGTATGGAAGAAGTGAATGTTTTCAGTACTTGGGAGTTGACGTGTCGGCGGATGGATTTATGAAGGATGAGGTTAATCATAGAATTGATGAGGGAAAAAAGGTGAGTGGTGCGTTTAGGTATATGTGGAGTTCAAAAAACGTTATCTATGGAGGCAAAGAAGGGAATGTATGAAAGTATAGTAGTACCAACACTCTTATATGGGTGTGAAGCTTGGGTGGTAAATGCAGCAGCGAGGAGACGGTTGGAGGCAGTGGAGATGTCCTGTTTAAGGGCAATGTGTGGTGTAAATTTATGCAGAAAATTCGGAGTGTGGAAATTAGGAGAAGGTGTGGAGTTAATAAAGTATTAGTCAGAGGGCAGAAGAGGGGTTGTTGAGGTGGTTTGGTCATTTAGAGAGAATGGATCAAAGTAGAATGACATGGAAAGCATATAAATCTATAGGGGAAGGAAGGCGGGGTAGGGTCGTCCTCGAAAGGGTTGGAGAGAGGGGGTAAAGGAGGTTTTGTGGTAAGGGGCTTGGACTTCCAGCAAGCTTGCGTGAGCGTGTTAGATAGGAGTGAATGGAGACGAATGGTACTTGGGACCTGACGATCTGTTGGAGTGTGAGCAGGGTAATATTTAGTGAAGGGATTCAGGGAAAACCGGTTATTTTCATATAGTCGGACTTGAGTCCTGGAAATGGGAAGTACAATGCCTGCACTTTAAAGGAGGGGTTTGGGATATTGGCAGTTTGGAGGGATATGTTGTGTATCTTTATGTGTGTATGCTTCTAGACTGTTGTATTCTGAGCACCTCTGCAAAAACAGTGATAATGTGCGAGTGTGGTGAAAGTGTTGAATGATGATGAAAGTATTTTCTTTTTTGGGATTTTCTTTCTTTTTTTGGGTCACCCTGCCTCGGTGGGAGACGGCCGACTTGTTGAAAAAAAAAAAAAAACGTTATTAAAGCATAACATGTATATATTTAGTACAATTTATGACGTTTTCATATATTTTATGATTATTCATGGTTCAACAAGTTAAGGAAGCAGTATTGTAATATATTTCCCTACAATATATTGGGGCACCAAACATTCACGGTTTTTCAACATTCGCGAGGCTCTTGATCCCCTAACCCTCGCGAATGTTGAGGGAGACCTGTACATGATTTTTCCTGCCTTCAGATATACTGCCATCTTAGGCCTAGGCTAATTTGTTTATGTCCCATTCCTCCTGATGCCAAGGAAAAAAATTGCTGGCCACATGATGAGTCCAAGGGCATTGTGAGTAACACAGCCTAAGTAGCAGTTTTGAAACAATGCCAAGGAGGCACCAGGGCTTGACTAGAAGTAAAAACTGGCACATTTTATATGCTGGATACAACAATAACAGAGAGGACTGTAGTTCTGAGGAGAATTTATCTGGTTTTGAATATAATGAGGCTGTTAGTGGCATCAGAAATATAAGCACCTGTAATGTCAGTGAAACCCAAGATATACCAGTGGCATCCAAACCTAGCCTTGACTCACAAAAACACAGAAGAAAGGTCTATTGTACTCGTGATAATGAAGTGAGTAGTTTGAGCAGTGGGCAGGAAAATGATTACAAGGCAGATACTGCTGCTCCAAGTGATAGTGAGGCACATTATTCATCAATGAAGCACAAACCTTTCCAGCTTCTCACGGGGTCTAATAGTGTATCATGTGCACTTGTATTATTCTTTGGTGATACTAATAGAAATGCTGGTGATTTGGGAGAAGATAATGAAAGTGATTCTGCTTGTGTTGGTCTTAGTAATATTGCAGCAGGAGCTGTAGGATCATCACCTGCTTTGTTACGAACACCACGTGGTACCACAATTTGACACCACAATGAGCCCTGACACCGGCTGCTGCATCGTGAATACCACAGGTGGTGCCATAAACTGTAACATTACCAAATATTATAAAACTACCAGTGAACAGGATACAGAACTTGAAAGAGAATACATCTTTTGTCCCCAGTGTTTCTTATGTAGATGATGATAACAGGATGGAGGGAGGGGGTAAAAGCAGTTTTTGTGTGGAAGGGGCTTGGACATACAGCGGGCATGTGTGAGTGTGTGAGATAGGAGTGAATGGTTTCTGGGACCTGATGAGCTGTTGGAGTGTGAGCAGGGTAATATTTTTTGAAGGGATTTAGGGAAACTGGTTAGAGGTGGGAAGTACACTGCCTTCACTTTAAAGGAGGGGTTTGGGATATTGGCTGTTTGGAGTGACATCTAAACTGTCATATCTGAGTGCCTCTGCAAAGAGTGATTATTTGTGAAAGTGTTTGTTTTTTGGGTCATCCTTCCTTAGTGGGAGGTGGCTGATGTGTTAAAAAAAGTGGAATTTGGCCAGACTGTCCAGTAACCAATGATTCCAACAAACCTGATTATTTCAAATTATTCTTCAGTGAGACACTTAGGCAACATTTGGGTATCATTATTCTGGAAACATTTTGCCACACTGTGGCTTTAGTCCAGTGCAGAAAAAGGTGGAATAAGAGGAGTTTGAGGTAATCAGTCCCTCAGCTTTAAGTTGATGTGTTTGATCTGTCAGTCTTGATTTTTGTCAAGATTGATGGACTGAACACATCTACTCAAGGCTGAGGGACTGATTATCTCAAACTACCCTCTTATTCCACCTTTTTCTGCACTGGACTGAAGAAGCCACTGTGTGGCAAAACATGTTGAGAATAATGATGCCCAAATGTTTCAAAAGTTTCTCATTCATCTTTGTGTCAGTTTTGTAAACCATTTATTCACAATTGTTATCAGTGCACAATGGCCAGTATATATTGCATTAAAATCTCAGCTTCATAGGTGGAAAAATGCCACTTTTGTAGAGATGTACTTGTTTTTTGCAGCACTTGTGCAATATGTTGCTTTTTTTTTGTTACTGTGCATGTTGCATTTCTCTGACAAAAGTAATCTTTGGAGAGATTATTTGTTGTACAAAATAAGTTAAGGTATCATTTACCTGAAACAGAATTTCACTGAATTCTTATATCCCTACAAGAGAATTGTTATTGATGAGTCTGATATTATTAAAAAATAGGCTCTCCTGCAAGCAATATTTTTTTTTTTCAACGCACTGGCCATCTTCCACTGAGGCATGGTGACTCGAAAAAGAAATACATTCACCATTATTTGCGCTATGACTGTCTTGCCAGAGATGCCTAGATACGGTAGTTCAGATGTCCCTTAACAGCAAATAACCCCCACCCCTCCTGTGGAGTACAGCCATTGTACTTCCCACCTCCAGGACTCAAGTCCAGCTAACTGGTTTTCCCTGAATTCCTTCACAAAATGTTACCTTGCTTACACTCCAACAGCACATCTGGTCCCAAATACCAATTTCCTCCACTCACTCCTATCTAACATGCTCATTCATGCCAGCAAATGATGTCATTCTGGTATGAAGCTGTTTGTGATGTGTGATTGTAAAACTGGTGTAATGTTATATATTATTGTGTACATAGGCAAGAAAACCTTAGCAAAAACCAGAGACAGTTTAGGAATATCTGCTACAGTTGTCATGAAAATGTTGATGCTGTATCTTGGCGAGGTTCAAAATTTATTCACAGATAACTGGAATACAAGCCCTTCTCTTTGATTTCCTGGAGGTTTACAATGCAAAAATGTGCAGGACAATGTGAGGAAATAAAAAAATTGTCATTCAAAAAAGCATTAACTTAATGAAGTACAGTATAAGTTTTATACTCCTATGCCATCCTTTCTGTCTTACCCATAATTCTTCCTGTTATAATAATTCTACCATTTGCTGTACTTGGCATGCTCAGCAGGCTTATCCCTTCATAATTCTTATATTCTTTCTTGTTCTCTATTTATGATCCTTGTTATTCTTGTCCAACTGTTCATTTCTTCCATATTCTTGAAGCACTCACTGTCCACATTCTTTACTATCCCCATAATAAGTCTTAGCTCACTTCTTAATGTGGGAACACCAGTAAAATCAGTCTACATAATGTCATAATTTTTCCCATGCAGCATTTGCAGTAGAATGGTATCCTTCATCTCATGCCTCATGACAACTGTAATTTGGTATTCAAAATTGAATTTATGCCAGTAGTCTAGAATGTCTCCTGTAGTGCTCGCCTTCAACCCCTAGAAAATCTTCTTTAACACTTAAACTGTTTGAACACAGATGTATGTTCGCTCGTGTAGCACTCCGAACGTAGATCTATGTTTTTTTTACATGCGTTCAAATGGGGAAAATCAAGGTTGGAGTGCTACATGTGTAAATGTAGATCTACATTTGGACAGTTTAAGGGTTAATCATGCAGTGAAAGGTTTTGATAACCAGATTGTCTTGCATATAATTATTTGGTTGTTTATTGTGTGTTTTAAGTGAAAATGTGTGTGTGGGGGAAGGGGCTTTAAACAGTAAACAATATTCACAATATATATAGTATATATTTGGGGAAAAGTGAGGATTTTCATGTATCTGAGACCACTGTATCAAAATGCTGTTGCCTGTAGAATATCCTTACAGAAATAAACAATCCACCCAAACCTGATGCATAGCTCAGGAATGGAATTTTATGTCCATGATCCATAAGTTTCATGAGTTAAGAAATGTGATCCTTTGAACCTAAGAGTTTTCTGTAATCGATTCTTTTGTACTTTTTTTTTTTTTTAAGTTTGTTTTGTGTAATTAATTTTTTTTCAATGGATAGCAGCTCTGTTTTAATAATCTCTGACAACTTTTCCCTGTTTCAGTTTGGGAGATTAGTACTGGTCGTTGTTTGCGCAGTTTCGACATTGAGGCAGCAGTGAAGTGGGTGGCTTGGAATCCCAGTAGCAAACTATTTTTACTAGGCATAGTAATAGAGAAGAAAGTGATCTTCCTGAATCCTGAAACGTACCTGACAGATAAGGTTGTTGTTAAACAGACTAACGCTGTTTTCAAGGAGGAGCCAGATCAAGGAGACTATATTCGTAAGCTTTAACACCATTTATATTTGCAAAGCAGTGTTGCACAAGATTTATTGTTTAAAATAATGTGTATATGCTAATCCTAATAAAATAAGTTTCTCTGTAAAGTAACAGTCTAGTAAGAGTTCTTACATGTAAGATTCCTCTCACTCTGTTCTCTATATTTTTTCTTCTTGTGTTTGTTTGACTACATTTTTATTGGTAGGTAACCCTCATATTCTGAAAAAAAAAAAAAATTCTCACGGGCTTGAAACATTGAGTAATTGTGTATCTTTATAAAAATGGCATTTTGGACATTTTTTCAATAGTGTTTTGGGGGGATTTCATCTTTGCTAGATGAAATGATGGTGAATAATTGAAACTAAACAAAAACTTCCTACCCATTTCCTAACAAGTCTGTTAACCCTTTCAGTGTCGAGACCCCTGATCCTTAACTCACTCTGTCGAAAAATTAAAAAAAAAAAATTCTTGCGAAATGATAGAGAATCTTTTCCTGATGGTAATGACACCAAAAGAACAAAATGTGATGGAAAACTTAAGAAATTACGCTCTTGCGAAGTTGGCGATCTCGATGATATTTACATATCAGTGATTTCGCCCAGTTTGAGCCCTATTTTCAGCCAATTCCGTTGTTCCAATAGGCTAAAATCATAGCTTTTTTTCTAGAACTCCACTTGTTCTATAACTGAGTACAAGAAACTGCCCATTTACCAATTTCAACTACCCAATAAAGTGGTCAGAAATTTACAATTTGGCAAATTTTATGCAAATTTCAAAAGATGTCAATTTCTAAAGGTCCAGAATAAACAAGGCAGACATTCCTGTCACTAAAATAACATTTTCTCTGTTCATTAGTCACATCTCCAGTTCCCTCTTATATTACTCTTGCTTTCTATTTTGAATTTTTATTCTCACAAAGAAAAGAAGATTTACTGTTATGCAGACTACTGCATTAATGTAAAAATGGTATAAATAATATCAGTGCACTTGTGAAAGAATATTAGACTCACCAGTTGACGTGTATTGGACGCGTGGCGTTATTTGCTAACTCTTGAACATTGGTAAAAATCAAACATTTCTGTACTTAGAGCTCAATTTCAAGGTACTTTTCATCATGAAACTAATCAAAATCATCTCCATTTCTGTAATATATCTTCCATTCTATCAATTGAGACCAAGAAAACGAGAATACGTACAACCATAAATACCACATGAAAATACACCGCAGATTCGCTGTTTTAAACCAAAAATGTGGTTGGAGTTTTTTTATTCTCATTATGCAGTGTGTGCTGCAGGATTTTTTATATACTGCGCACACTGACCACGCAGACCCATTCTTTCATATATAGGCCTACCAGCTTTCTCCCACCAGATTTGAAGGAGCTAGAATTTTGGTGTAGTATTATGGGACTGACACTGGCTCTCAAGCCATAATATTATGGGACCGACACTGAAAGGGTTAAAAGTTCAACATATTAAGTTTTTCTTCTTGATTTATTCATTTAGTTTGCCTTTCAGTTTTTTCTGATAGAATACCCTATTGTTATTTAAATTACAACCTTAAGTGGTACTTTTTCTATGACTGGACATTTTAGTTTATTTCATTTATGCCTTTGTCAAGTTAAATTTTGAAAGTACTGTAGTGTTTATTTTTGAAATAAATATTTGAATAGAGGATAACATGTTAATAGTTTTGTTTATCAGTGGCAAATATGAGATTTGATTTGTATTTTAATGTTGGTTGTAGTAATGCATCCTTGCATGATTTGTAGTTTTAGGCAGTAAGGGTTAATATATTATGTCAGTATCACCTTTGTTTGATAACTCCATTGTTTAAATAAACTGGAAGACTCGGGTAGAACAGAAAAAAAATTAGGATAAGCATTATTTTATTAAAATGATAATGTGGAGGTCGAGGCAATAGAAGAGACAATAAAGTGCTTCCAAGGGGTGACCGGTGCTGCTGCTGCTACTTCACTATATGTGAAGTTTACTTGCAAGTTTCTTCTTGCAATAACTGCACAAATTATAGTGTATTATCAGAAGGTCTCCTGGCCTATTTACTGTGAATGCTTAATGTTTACAGAAATCTGGGATGGTAGATAAATCCAGGGATATACAGTAGGGCCTCGCTTTATGGCGTTTCACCTTATGGTATTCCACTAATACGGACGTTTCAAATACAATGCCCAAAACTCGCTGTATGGCTCCCCACACCTGACCCTCTAATATGGTCACCCGGTTTGTTTACATTCTCTGTGAGCATGTCTCTCCATTATGTCTGGAAACTTTCTAAAATTTCAAGTGTTTTAAAGCTATTGCATATTCTATTTTTTTTTTTTCAACAAACCGGCCGTATCCCACCAAGGCAGGGTGGCCCAAAAAGAAAAACGAAAGTTTCTCTTTTTAAATTTAGAAATTTATACGGGAGAAGGGGTTACTAGTTCCTTGCTCCTGGCATTTTAGTCGCCTCTTACGACACGCATGGCTTATGGAGGAAGAATTCTATTCCACTTCCCCATGGAGATAAGAGGAAATAGACAAGAACAAGAACTAGAAAGAAAATAGAAGAAAACTCAGATGGGTGTGTATATATATGCTTGTACATGTGTGTGTAGTGTGACCTAAATGTAAGTAGAAGTAGCAAGACATACCTGAAGTCTTGCATGTTTATGAGACAGAAAAAAGGACACCAGCAATCCTACCATCATGTAAAACAATTACAGGCTTCGTTTTACACTCACTTGGCAGGACGGTAGTACCTCCCTGGGTGGTTGCTGTCTACCAACCTACTACCTATAATATTCTATATTTTTTTTTTTTTTTTTTTTTTTCAACAAGTCGGCCGTCTCCCACCGAGGCAGGGTGACCCAAAAAAGAAAGAAAATCCCCAAAAAGAAAATACTTTCATCATCATTCAACACTTTCACCACACTCGCACATTATCACTGTTTTTGCAGAGGTGCTCAGAATACAACAGTCTAGAAGCATACACATATAAAGATACACAACATATCCCTCCTCACTGCCAATATCCCAAACCCCTCCTTTAAAGTGCAGGCATTGTACTTCCCATTTCCAGGACTCATTTGTACATTGATAATTATACTTATGTATACCTGTACCCAAATAAACTTACACACTATGCTGGCATGCAGGTACACTTTAGAATTACTAAGCGTGTCCCTCTAGTCTTGGTGCCATAGTAATAATAATACAGCCTCTCCTCACTTAGCGATGTACTTGTTTACTGATGCCTCGGACTTACGACAGGCTCTCTGACCAGTATGCATACCTAAATAATGTATATTAGAGCTGATTTCCTTTGTTCTGTTTGTTGCAATATACAGTACACTACTGTATAAACATTTAAAAATATACCAGAAATGTTATAAATGATGCAAAGGTGACATTAAAACAATATCAGAGATAGTTGACACAAACTTACTACCATTATAGTATGCTCCTCACTTAGTGACGAATTCATTTACCGACGTGGCCTTACGAATGAAACTCCGTCATTAAGTGAGGAGAGACTGTACTAATACGTAATATTAATAATCACTCTTGGGCACATTAAATGCTTTATTTACATTAATATAGACATTTTCGTTAAACCATATATGATATGTTCTTCAAAATTATATAAGAAACAAAGAAACACATTACATAGCATATAAACGTGATACATATACCCACAGTACAATAAATTTCACATAATTATGAGTTGTGGTAGCTGGGCGGAGGAAAAAAATTTTCTCTGGTCCAGCACCAAAGAAAATGTGTATGAATCTGTCTTTGACCGAGTGACTCCCCTTAACACATTTATTTTTGTTTACAATTCTCGGCATGACTTCTTCTCATTACTTCTCCCATTGTTTATGATGGCATCTAAAGTTAGTTGTTTGAAATGATTAACCTCAGTGAACAAGGTATGTCGATGGTAATAAGATCGCTCTGGGCTGCTTTAAATATCATATAGCTACACCTACCGGCTACCTACACCTGACTTCATACAAATAAATACTACTGACCTCTAACCCTACAAATATTTTAAGTAATGAATGTACTGTGTATGTATTTTACTATTTATTGATTTTTAATGTCTATTTCTACTGTTAGCTTAATATATGTTAGTGTAAATTTGTTATCTGGCATTTGTATGCATTTATAAGTGGAAAAAATGGCATTCTACTTTCCAGTAGTGTCTGCTTTCCGGCAGTAGCCTGGAACCTAAACTACCGTATAAGTGGGGCCCTACTGTACATTGTAGGCTTGGTTTGTGGAGACTTTTTTTTTTTTTTAGGTGTATTAGTTGCATAGAAAAAAGTATTAGTGATACATTTTTCAAAAGTAATGTCCTAATTGGAAAAAGTAGAAAATACAAATGTGAAAGGTTCCATGCTGGGTTATGAGTAACAGAACTGGCTGGAAGGATGTGTCAAGGTGGCTGCACAAAGACTTGTGTTGAGGTTACCCTCTGAGAAGGGAGTTTTCCCAGAATACAGTAGGATATTGTTTACATGGTATATATTTTCACTCGAGGCAGTATAAATTTATGACATACCTTGAAAGTTCAGTATTAGTTTATTTTAACTTTCGAATCTTAAATTTTTAGGAAATTTAATGTTGCAGATTTTGAAAGCTTATATTTTTGTTTTAAACAACTTAATGTTACATAATCTACAGAGCCTGAACGGGTGAGAACAGCTGTGACATGGAGGAAACCCACTGCTGATGAGTGGGCCAAGGGCTACAGAATTGTCATTGATCATTTTCGCAGTGTGAAACAGGTCCGTTTGTAGGTGTACTGATTCCCCTTTTATGTCATATTGCTTTGATATGTTTGCCTTTATTTAACTTTATTGCAAAGTTTGCATAATTATCACCTTTCATTAGGGTCCAAACCGTAGATCAATGCTTTGTCCAAAACATATATCAGTATAGAGTAAGAATTAGTATTAGTCTGTCCAAAATGCCTAGGCATGCTAGTGGCCTTCTTTGTAATTAATATTTTATAACATGTAAACCACACATTGTAAGCTTCGACAAGGAAATAAACATTTGAATTTGAATTTGAATTAGGGTCCAAGAATTTAAAAAAAAAAAATTTTATTTTTTCTTATGAAATGATAGAGAATCTTTTTCTGAAGGTAACAAAACAAAAAGTATGAAATTTGATGGAAAATTGACAAAATTACACTATCACAAATTTTACTGCGTCAGCGATACAGTGGACCCCCGGTTAACGATTTTAATCCGTGCAAGAGGGGTAATTGTTATGCGAAATAATCGTTATGTGAATGAATTTTCCCCATAAGAAATAATGGAAATAAAATTAATCCGTGCAAGACACCCAAAAGTATGAAAAAAAAAATTTTTACCACATGAAATATACATTTTCCCACACACAAAGAGAAGGATACATGCACAATAGTAGAGTAGTACATGCACAGTATATATTGTGCATGTACTAGTCTACTAAATGAAGAATAAATGACACTTACCTTTATTGAAGATGCAGCAATGACTGATGAGACACTGTGTCCTGGGAGTGCCTTTTCCTCCTGAGTACTGTAGGTCCTGTTTGGCATTTTCTTCCAGAACAGGCCTTATCACACTGTGTATGCCACTACGATTCTTAAATCTCTCAAACCAACCTTTGCTGGCTTTAAATTCACCAATATGAGCACTAGTTCCAGGCATTTTTCCCTGTTCACCTGGGTGTTAGTCGACTTGTGTGGGTTGCATCCTGGGAGACAAGATTAAGGACCCCAATGGAAATAAGTTAGACAGTCTTCGATGACACTGACTTTTTTGGGTTATCCTGGGTGGCAAATCCTCTGGGGTTAATTGTTTCTTGGTATTCTCAATAAGCCACACCAACAACGGTGCTACAGCAGCAGCAGCAGCTGACAGAGCAGCAGCAGCAGCAGCTGACAGTGCAGCGCAGCAGCAGCTGACAGTGCAGCAGCAGCAGCAGCTGTACCACCAATAGTAGCGATGGTTGATTGGGGTTTATTATACAACCTGGCCAGCTCGGAGACTTGCACTCCACTTTCATACTTATCAATGATCTTTTTCTTCATCTCTATTGTAATTCTCACCCTTATTGCTGTAGGGTTGGCACTAGAAGCTTTCTTGGGGCCCATGGTCACTTATTTTCCAGAAAAAGCACCGAAAACACTGTAATAATACGAAATATTCCGATTGTATGCTTGGATGTTACCGCGGAGGCTGGCTGGTAAACAATGCCACCGGCGAAACATGTGAGCGTGGCTCAGGCCGCACATTGGACGCGTCTCGGACGAAAATCGGTAAGCGGGTTTTTAAGCGGTATGTGAGGCAAAATTTTTGCAATTAAAGTAAGCGGTATGCGAAATAATCGCTATGTGATGCCATCGTTATGCGGGGGTCCACTGTATTAATACATCGGTGATTTTGCCCAATTTGACTCTTATTTTAGGTCAATTACATTATTCCAGTCAACCAAATTCTTAGTTATTTTGCTAGTGTTACTTCTATTTTATCGATTGAGCACAAGAAACTGCCCAGTCAACTATTTCAACTACTCAATAAAGTGATCAGAAATTGGTAATTTGGCCAGTTTCACATGAAGTTCAAAATATTCCAATTTCGAAATAGGGTCCAGAATACACAATGCAGCATTCGTGGCACTGAAATAACATTTCCTCTGTTTATTAGTTGTGTTTCTAGGCTTTACAGATGAATTCCGTTTTTATTTTTGATTTACATAAGAATTTTTATTCACACCAAAAAATAGAAGATTTACTGTTACGCAGTACATATATAATAATTGTATAAATAACATCAGCGCTTTCTTTCTTTCTTTCTTTCAACACACCGGCCGTATCCCACCGAGGCGGGGTGGCCCAAAAGGAAAAACGAAAGTTTCTCCTTTTACATTTAGTAATATATACAGGAGAAGAGGTTACTAGCCCCTTGCTCCCGGCATTTTAGTCGCCTCTTACAACACGCATGGCTTACGGAGGAAGAATTCTGTTCCACTTCCCCATGGAGATAAGAGGAAATAAACAAGAATAAGAACTAGAAAGAAAATAGAAGAAAACCCAGAGGGGTGTGTATATATGTGCTTGTACATGTATGTGTAGTGGGACCTAAGTGTAAGTAGAAGTAGCAAGACGTACCTGAAAACTTGCATGTTCATGAGACAGAAAAAAGGACACCAGCAATCCTACCATCATGTAAAACAATTACAGGCTTTCGTTTTACACTCACTTGGCAGGACGGTAGTACCTCCCTGGGCGGTTGCTGTCTACCAACCTACTACCTAGATCAGCGCTTTCATGAACGTATATTAGATCCACCGGTTGACGTGTATTGGACACACGACGTCATTTGTTTACTCTTGAACATCCGCAGAAATCGAACATTTCTGCTAATTTGAGCTCAATTTCAAGCTATTTTCAGTACTAAAACCAATCAGAATCATCTCTATTTCTGTAATATATCTTCCATTCTATCAAATGAGACCAAGAAATCGAGAATACTGCCGTAAAAACCATACGAAAATACACCCCAAACTGGGTGTTTTAATCCATAAACATGGTTGCATTTTTTTTCTCATGCACTATGTACTACAGGATTTTTTTTTAAATGGTGCACACTTACCACTTAGATCCATTCTCTTATATCTAGGCCCCCAAATTTACCAGTCACAGCTTATCTGAGTGAGCTGAGCTCATTGCACAGAACTACGGCTTGGACCCTCAAAGGGTTAATAAAGGTCCAGGGGTCATTTTAAAATGCACCCTTACTAACCTAGAAAAGGTAAAGCAAAATTCATGTACAAAAATAAATGTTATATGCCATAAAAATATGTGCAGTAAACTCATCAATATAATGAAGCTTTGTTATTCCCCATGGCACAAAGTACATAAACTAGAAACAAAAGTCCACAGTTCATTGAACCATCTTACATTCCACATGGTCAGTATCTTAGGGGCCTCCACTATTAACATAACGTTTACAGTTGCCTTACCCAGGGTCTTAATGCAGCCACACAGCAACATGCCCTGTGTTGACCCATGTGAGCTTAGAGATTTTTTCCTAGGCGTAAGGAGGTACTTGGCAACCCAAGCAGCTAAGGCAAATGGTGCATGGCAAATGAGAAGGCACAGATTTATTCATTTGTATATGCAGAGACACTTTGGTTCCCTCTGCAGATTTACATTACTCACAGTTATGTGGTTAATGCTATTGAGCTGTATCTAGTTAAACATTAGGATCTTACAAAAATTTATTTTCATTCTATTTTCAGATAGTGTGGCACAAGCAGGGTGACTACTTCGCAACTGTTATTCCTCAGGGAGATCACCGATCTGTCCTTATGCATCAGTTGAGTCGCTGGCGGTCTCAAGTGCCATTTAACAAGTGTAAAGGTCTTGTTCAGGCTGTTCAGTTTCATCCTAAACTTCCCTTCCTGTATGTTGCAGTAAGTTATCAATTTAGTATCATCTAGTTTGTTTTTTCTTTGGTGCAGAACACTTACTTATCCCTATCAGTGTTGACACTTGCAAATTGAAAGCCCCTTCTCTGTCACCATTTCAAAAAGAAATATAAATAAAATTTTACCTTCTAAAATGGTAGAGTATCTTTTTCAGAAGGTAATGACTCCAAAAATGCAAATTTGATATATATTATAGAATTTCTAGGTGGTAGGTTGGTAGACAGCAACCACCCAGGGAGGTACTACTGTTCTGCCAAGTGAGTGTAAAATGGAGGTCTGTAATTGTTTTACATGATGGCAGGATTGCTGGTATCTTTTTTTCTCTCATAAGCATGCAAGATTTCTGATACGTCTTGCTACTTCTACTTACACTTAGATCACACTACACTTGCATGTACTAGCATATATATACACACCCCTCTAGGTTTTCTTCTATTTTCTTACTAGTTCTTGTTTGTTTCCTCTTATCTCCATGGGGAAGTGGAACAGAATTCTTCCTCCATAAGCCATGCATGTCATAAGAGGCTATAAATAAAACAGATACATTGGACAGAGTTACTTACCATCATGCTATTCTTATTGTCACCTAGGTCCTGGTTCATTTCAAGGCTAAAGTTTCCAGCATACTGGATGATGACTAGGGACTTTTAACGAGTGTGAAATCATGTCATGTTGATAAAACACTGACAAGCTCCAGAACTTAAATCACCTCACTTGCCCTATACCAACACTATATATCAATCAGGTCCCTACCTGCCTTGCATAAATTGTAGATTATAAAGTAAGGAGAAGTGGATTTTGTCTGACTCCCAGGTGTATTAATTATACTTGAGGTTTTTGGTGACTTGTACTCATGTTGGGGTCAAGACAGAATGCCCATTGTCATATGTCGTGCTTAATGAAAAGTGCTGTCTTGTATCCGAATATCATCGGTTATTTTGGTCAACACTCGCTTAGCACATGCGCAAGTAATGCCCTCAACATCAAGAACCCATTCTTAGTGTGAATTCCAGCTTAAATCCTGATAATCCACTGATAACACTTAAATACTTAGTCAATGACCCAGGGAAGTGTTAGAGCACATGATAAGTAGAGGTGCCAGGTTTTCTCTCACTGTGTTCAGGGTGTGGTACTAAATTAATCAAGCTCCCATGTTAGCCATGTTTGTTATCTGTGGTTCCCTACACAAGACTGATGCTCCCAGGCATTAAAAATGGCCCAGGATAGTTGGCTGGCAACGGTGAGTGTTATTTAATCACTCATAATATGTCAGAGCAACAGTCACAGTGGTATTCATAAAACTCAACAATTCTCTGAGACTTAGTAAACAAATAGGTCTCATTCTCTTATGTTGCAAGTACCACCTGACAAGCAGGTGTGACAGTTGGCACATGGTGTGCTATTGGCACAAAAATTTTTCTCAAAATTGTTGGGAAGTCATTGTAGCTCCTTTCACCTTCCACTGGAGAAGGGTTTGGCAGTAACAGGTCTTTAAGTCATGTAAACACTATGGAGGGCACTGGTACACAGGAATTCAAAAATTACCACAGGGCCACTGTAAGACATCAATATTTTTTCAGCCAGCCACTTGGTTACTTATTTAGCCTTGTGACAAGGGGCACTATTGTGCATAAAGGTGGTACAGCTCTGAATTTTGAAAATATTCAGCAGGTATTCCTTAAGAGCAGTGATGTAGTGGTAGAAATTCATTGTAACATTTTGGGGAAGTACAACCCCCAACGACAAAGTAAACACAAAAGCAACCCCAGAACATGACAGATTGTGGGTGCTTTATGGTGCTTACTGCATATGCAGGGTCATACCTGCTGATGGAGGAGGGGGCGCTTTAAAGACCTTGAATAAACTGAAATGTTTTCGTCTGATCACATTACTTTTTTTCCCGTCATCAGCACTCCAGTGAACATATTTTCTGGCAAACTGCAGCCATTCCTTCTTTATACTGTGTGTGAGTAGGGGTTTCCTTGCAGGCAGAGGGTCTTTGGCAGGAGCTGATTTAAGTACTGAATCGAGAGATCACCAAAGAGTTCAGGATGCATTTCTTTGAACTGCAATACAGTCATATGTGTACTCTGCACAACTTCCTGCGTAGAAGGTTGTGTGTGTGTTTATACGTCTTCATTGGCCATGCATCATGAGGTTTTATAGTGGAAATATCTGGTGGGAGGCCATGGGCAGTAGCATAATGTCATTATACTGGACTTTGCTCTTCCAGTATGGTGACTGTCTTGTATCGTTTCATCTTTGAACTTACATTTATCCACTTGGCACTAAATACAGCTCTAAATTGCGGGCACTTGGAAGTAGAGCAATGCAATAGAGCACCTTATCTTACTGACTTGCAGGCACACTGAAAGGTGATGAACACTGCAGTCTCTTGTATTAACTCAAGAAAGTTAACAGATACTTCTAGAAAAAGTTCAGATGAAGTATAACATCAAATACACAACATGAATCCAGAACGCTTTATACTTCTTATAATGGAGGCAGGTCCGGATAATTTTTGCGAGCATTATAAGTGCCACTGACCCCAATTATGTAGATCTATGGGAGTGGCAATTTAAGTGTTATTAGTTTCCAAGGCTTATAAAGATAAATTGCCAACTAATTTTGCAGACTACTACTTATGTTTATGTTATATAAAGAATTGTGCATGCCAAATTTTATTCTGATACTTATGATACTTGTGGAGATTAGGATGTTTCCATTTTTCTTCAAGATGCTAATACTTTATAAACCTTACACATTTTGGCCTAAAAAATATAGTGATGTCCAGTCCTTAATATATATCTAGAAAGAAATACTTATATGTCTCTGTGGTTCTAGAAAGAAAAACACATGTAATATGTCTTTATGGTATGCAGAAAAAAATAAAGTGTGTACGTGTGTTCATCTGTTTGACAAGGGAATGAGTGCATTTTTCAAGTTATTCACATTTAGTTTACTTTTTCTTTGTATGCAGCAATGTTTGTTAAATGAAATAATGCCATAATTACATATTTTCTTGTAAATTTTTCAAATGTACTTTGTCAAACGTAAGTAATTTTTCATGGATGGTCTTAGTTTTGCCATTATAATATACAATGATGCAGTTTTATCACAACGATCTGTGATCCCCAGACACAAAGCCACATTCGTGTTTACAACCTACAAAAGCAAAGAATTCTGAAGAAAGTTCAGGCTAACTGTCGCTGGATATCATCGATTGCTATTCATCCAGGTGGGGAGCATTTCCTCATTAGTGGATATGACTGCAGACTTAACTGGTTAGTACTTCTTTATTCATTTTTTTTATTATGTAGTATTTAGTATTCAAGGAGGGTAATCGTAAAGAATGATAAACAAAAACATTTGGGCATTTGAAATCCAATGAGCAAACTTTGAATATGGTTTGTTTTCAACTGAAGAACCTTGTGCAGAATTATTAAGACATTGGGCATAGTGAGAAGTGTTTGTATTTCTTGACTGATTTAAACTAAAACAGATATGATTTTTTTTCCACATTAACCATCTCCTGGCAAGGCAGGGTGTCCTATACAAAGAAACACTAATAATTATTCAGTCAGTGTCTTGCCAGAAGTATGTTGACATCCCAATTAAGGTTACTCACAAACTACAACATCCCCACCCCTCGGAAATATAAACACATATGCAGTATAATGTGATCTTTTATTGACAACATTTCACCCACACAGTGGGCTTTTTCAAGTCACAAACAGATCTCAGACCTGTTTGTGACTTGAAAAAGCCCACTGTGTGGGCAAAATGTTGTCAATGAAGGATCACATTATACTGCATATGTGTTTATATTTCCATTGTGTCAGTATTTTATGCCATTTATTTCCATCCCCACCCCTCCTTCAGAGTGTAGACTTTACTCTTCCCACTTCGAAGACTCCTGCTAATCATTTCCCATGAATCCCTTCATAAATGTTAAATCGCTCACATTCCAGCAGGATGTCCATTAACCCTTTGACTGTCGAAGGGCCCAATCCTGAAGTTGCTCCTGGTGTCGCAAAATATTCGAAAAAAAAAAATTATTTTTTCTTATGAAATGATAGAGAATCTTTTCCCGATTGTAAAGACACCAAAAAAACGAAATTTGATGGAAAACTGACGGAATTACGCTCTCGCGAAGTTAGCGACTTCGGCGATATTTAAAAATCGGCAATTTCGCCCACTTTGAGCCCTATTTTCGGCTAATTCCGTTATTCCAGTCAACCAAACTCATAACTATTTCTTCAGAACTCTATTTTTTCTATCGATTGAGCACAAGAAACTGCCCATTTACCGATTTCAACTACCCAATAACATGGTCAGAAATTTGCAATTTGGCCAATTTCACGAAAATTAAAAAATACGACAATTTCAAAATAAGGTCCAGAATGAACAATGCAGACATTCCTGGCTCTAAAATAAGATTTTCTTTGTTCATCAGTCATGTCTCCAGGTCCCTGTGATATTACTCTTGCTTTTTATTTTGAAATTTTATTCAAACAAAAAATAGAAGATTTACTGTTATGCAGACTACTGCAATACTGTAATAATTGTAAAAATTACATCAACCCATTCATGACTGCGTATTAGAATGGCTATTTGGACATTTATTGGACAATGACATCGTTTGTTTACTTTTGAACATCGGCAAAAATCAAACATTTCCTGTACTTTGTGCTCCATTTCCAGGTTCTTTTTATAGTAAAATTAATCAAAATCACCTCCATTTCTATAATATAGTTTCCATTCTATCAAATGAGACCATGAAAACGAGAATACAACCACAAATACTATACGAAAATAGACCACAAAGTCGGCATTTTAATTAAAAAAAACGGTCGGAGTTTTTTTTTTCTCATTATGCACTGCGTGCTCCAGGATTTTTTTTATGTGGTGCACACTGACCACACAGACCCATTCTCTCACATGTGGGCCTACTAGCTTTCTCCTGCCTGATTTGAAGCCGCTAGAATTTATGAGTATATATACGTCAAACACGGTACCTCACAAACGTATATATACGGCCGTGACAGTCAAAGGGTTAAAAAGCCACCTGTCTCCATTCACTCCTAACACACTCATACAAGCCTGCCGGATGTTCAAGCCCCTGAAATTCAAAGCCTCCATTACCCACTCCTCCAACTGTTTCTTGGATGACTCCTACTTCTCCTACTTTCCATCCTAGATTTTATACCCTCTTCGTCATCCTATCCCTCTAAATGGCCAAATTGCCTGGGCAACCTGTCTTCACAGTCTTCAACCCTCTTGAATTATACCCTTGTTGATTCTATATCATCATTTAATTTTTGCACTCTGAACCTTCTGCATGATATTCACACCATGTTGATCTCAATCATCACATCTGTACTATATGCCTCCTCCTTACTGCAATGTTCATATGAAGCTATTAGTCTTGCTATTCTCTAATACATTCCTTTCCCCATCTTCCACAAATAAACTTCTTTCTTTCAACAGATGCCTTATCACACCACTTATGAACTTGTTGGTATTGTATACCATTATCATATTCACAGCCACAGTATTAATGTTCTTTATTATATAACCATGTGTCCTATTTTCTCTCTTGCTTCTAAAATTGCAAAGGTATTGTAGGTAGTTACTGAATATGCAGGCAGGTCATGTGGGTCTTTTTCCCAGGTTGGCTAAGACAATGGTTTATTATTTTCCCAAACTTGTAATGTGCCTCTGTTATAATGATTAGCATATAGCTGATAGCTAGGAGATGAAAACTGCCTGTTGGATCAGTTGCAAGAACATTAAGCTTAACCTAGCAATGATGTGAATGCAGCACAATTCTCATAATTTTCATTGTGGTACTGTCTGTCTTGTGAGTATTCTCATGTCTCTAAAGGCCTATTTAACATGCTTCTTGGAGTGGTAGAGTATTGTACTTTCCTGTAGCTACTTTGTCACATGATGTGTCTGACACATCTAAAAAAAAAAAAAAAAAAAAAAGGCAAACAAAAGGTAAAAGTTTCCAAAAACTGACTGTACCATTGTCTACTGAAAGGTGTGATCAACTGGGTTTTGATAGCTGTGTGGGCCTGTGCGCCATAAACAGCAACATCCCGGTTGATCAGATTGTTTACAACTAAGCCTGATGTCTGGTTGAGCTGCAAGGTTAAAAGTGTCCTCAAAACTGGTCACAGTTATGTCACCTCTTGTACAACTTCCAGCAACAGACTGACACCTGACCTAATGACATCAATCTTTGTCTTGTCAGTCACCACCACATCTGTCACCTCTCCTCACCCACTGTAACTGGGTGTATTCCTAAACCATACCCCCGGCCGGGATTGAACCCGCGGTCATAGAGTCTCAAAACTCCAGCCCGTCTGGTTCAATCCCGGCCGGGGGTATGGTTTATTTGCAATCGTGTCATTACGATTTCTTGAGTCATCCTGGGTGTATTCCTCTTCAAGACTTGAGTTCACAATGCATTCACATCCCTGTTAATTATATTATACTGTTAACAGCTTACCTATAGGTAGTAGGTTGGTAGACAGCAAACACCCAGGGAAGTACTACCGTCCTGCCAGATGATTGTGAAACAGAAACCTGTAACTGTTTTGCATGATGGTAGGATTGCTGGTTTCTTTTTCTGTCTCATAAACACGCTAGTTAACAGGGATATCTTGCTACTCCTACTTACACTTTGGTCACACTTCACAGACATGCACATGCATATATATATACATACATTTAGGTTTTTTCTAGGTAGTAGGTTGGTAGACAGCAACCGCCCAGGGAGGTACTACCGTCCTGCCAAGTGAGTGCAAAACGAAAGCCTGTAATTGTTTTACATGATGGTAGGATTGCTGGTGTCCAGTTTTCTGTCTCACAAACATGCAAGGTTTCAGGTACGTCTTGCTACTTCTGCTTACACTTAGGTCACACTACACATACATGTACAAGTATATATATACACACACCCCGCTGGGTTTTCTTCTATTTTCTTACTAGTTCTTGTTCTTGTTTATTTCCTCTTACCTCCATGGGGAAGTGGAACAGAATTCTTCCTCTGTAAGCCATGCATGTTGTAAGAGGCGACTAAAATGCCAGGAGCAAGGGGCTAGTAACCCCTTCTCCTGTATATATTACTAAATGTAAAAGGAGAAACTTTCGTTTTTCCTTTTGGGCCACCCCGCCTCGGTGGGATACGGCCGGTGTGTTAAAAAAAAAAAAAAAAAAGAAAAAGATTTAGGTTTTTCTCCTTTTTCTAAATAGCTCTTGTTCCTCTTTATTTCTTCTATTGTCCATGGGGAAGTGGAAAAGAATCTTTCCTCCGTAAGCCATGCGTGTCGTATGAGGCGACTAAAATGCCGGGAGCAATGGGCTAGTAACCCCTTCTCCTGTAGACATTTACTAAAAAAGAGAAGAAGAAAAACTTTATAAAACTGGGATGCTTAAATGTGCGTGGATGTAGTGCGGATGACAAGAAACAGATGATTGCTGATGTTATGAATGAAAAGAAGTTGGATGTCCTGGCCCTAAGCGAAACAAAGCTGAAGGGGGTAGGGGAGTTTCGGTGGGGGGAAATAAATGGGATTAAATCTGGAGTATCTGAGAGAGTTAGAGCAAAGGAAGGGGTAGCAGTAATGTTGAATGATCAGTTATGGAAGGAGAAAAGAGAATATGAATGTGTAAATTCAAGAATTATGTGGATTAAAGTAAAGGTTGGATGCGAGAAGTGGGTCATAATAAGCGTGTATGCACCTGGAGAAGAGGAATGCAGAGGAGAGAGAGAGATTTTGGGAGATGTTAAGTGAATGTATAGGAGCCTTTGAACCAAGTGAGAGAGTAATTGTGGTAGGGGACCTGAATGCTAAAGTAGGAGAAACTTTTAGAGAGGGTGTGGTAGGTAAGTTTGGGGTGCCAGGTGTAAATGATAATGGGAGCCCTTTGATTGAACTTTGTATAGAAAGGAGTTTAGTTATAGGTAATACATATTTTAAGAAAAAGAGGATAAATAAGTATACAAGAGATGATGTAGGGCGAAATGACAGTAGTTTGTTGGATTATGTATTGGTAGATAAAAGACTGTTGAGTAGACTTCAGATGTACATGTTTATAGAGGGGCCACATATATATCAGATCACTTTCTAGTTGTAGCTACACTGAGAGTAAAAGGTAGATGGGATACAAGGAGAATAGAAGCATCAGGGAAGAGAGAGGTGAAGGTTTATAAACTAAAAGAGGAGGCAGTTAGGGTAAGATATAAACAGCTATTGGAGGATAGATGGGCTAATGAGAGCATAGGCAATGGGTCGAAGAGGTATGGGGTAGGTTTAAAAATGTAGTGTTAAGAGTGTTCAGCAGAAGTTTGTGGTTACAGGAAAGTGGGTGTGGGAGGGAAGAGGAGCGATTGGTGGAATGATGATGTGAAGAGAGTAGTAAGGGAGAAAAAGTTAGCATATGAGAAGTTTTTATAAAGTAGAAGTGATGCAAGGAGGGAAGAGTATATGGAGAAAAAGAGAGAGGTTAAAAGAGTGGTGAAGCAATGTAAAAAGAGAGCAAATGAGAGAGTGGGTGAGATGTTATCAACAAATTTTGTGGAAAATAAGAAAAAGTTTTGGAGTGAGATTAACAAGTTAAGGAAGCCTAGAGAACAAATGGATTTGTCAGTTAAAAATAGGAGAGGAGAGTTATTAAATGGAGAGTTAGAGGTATTGGGAAGATGGAGGGAATATTTTGAGGAATTGTTAAATGTTGATGAAGATAGGGAAGCTGTGATTTCGTGTATAGGGCAAGGAGGAACAACATCTTGTAGGAGTGAGGAAGAGCCAGTTGTGAGTGTGGGGGAAGTTCATGAGGCAGTAGGTAAAATGAAAGGGGTAAGGCAGCCGGGATTGATGGGATAAAGATAGAAATGTTAAAAGCAGGTGGGGATATAGTTTTGGAGTGGTTGGTGCAATTATTTAATAAATGTATGGAAGAGGGTAAGGTACCTAGGGATTGGCAGAGAGCATGCATAGTTCCTTTGTATAAAGGCAAAGGGGATAAAAGAGAGTGCAAAAATTATAGGGGGATAAGTCTGTTGAGTATACCTGGCAAAGTGTATGGTAGAGTTATTATTGAAAGAATTAAGAGTAAGACGGAGAATAGGATAGCAGATGAACAAGGAGGCTTTAGGAAAGGTAGGGGGTGTGTGGACCAGGTGTTTACAGTGAAACATATAAGTGAACAGTATTTAGATAAGGCTAAAGAGGTCTTTGTGGCATTTATGGATTTGGAAAAGGCGTATGACAGGGTGGATAGGGGGGCAATGTGGCAGATGTTGCAGGTGTATGGTGTAGGAGGTAGGTTACTGAAAGCAGTGAAGAGTTTTTACGAGGATAGTGAGGCTCAAGTTAGAGTATGTAGGAAAGAGGGAGATTATTTCCCAGTGAAAGTAGGCCTTAGACAAGGATGTGTGATGTCACCGTGGTTGTTTAATATATTTATAGATGAGGTTGTAAGAGAAGTAAATGCGATTGTCTTGGCAAGAGGCGTGGAGTTAAAAGATAAAGAATCACACATAAAGTGGGAGTTGTCACAGTTGCTCTTTGCTGATGACACTGTGCTCTTGGGAGATTCTGAAGAGAAGTTGCAGAGATTGGTGGATGAATTTGGTAGGGTGTGCAAAAGAAGAAAATTGAAAGTGAATACAGGAAAGAGTAAGGTTATGAGGATAACAAAAAGATTAGGTGATGAAAGATTGGATATCAGATTGGAGGGAGAGAGTATGGAGGAGGTGAATGTATTCAGATATTTGGGAGTGGACATGTCAGCAGATGGGTCTATGAAAGATGAGGTGAATCATAGAATGATGAGGGGAAAAGGGTGAGTGGTGCACTTTGGAGTCTGTGGAGACAAAGAACTTTGTCCTTGGAGGCAAAGAGGGGAATGTATGAGAGTATAGTTTACCAACGCTCTTATATGGGTGTGAAGCATGGGTGATGAATGTTGCAGCGAGGAGAAGGCTGGAGGCAGTGAGATGTCATGTCTGAGGGCAATGTGTGGTGTGAATATAATGCAGAGAATTCGTAGTTTGGAAGTTAGGAGGAGGTGCGGGATTACCAAAACTGTTGTCCAGAGGGCTGAGGAAGGGTTGTTGAGGTGGGTTCGGTACATGTGGAGAGAATGGAGCGAAACAGAATAACTTCAAGAGTGTATCAGTCTGTAGTGGAAGGAAGGCAGGGTAGGGGTCGGCCTAGGAAAGGTTGGAGGGAGGGGGTTAAGGAGGTTTTGTGTGCGAGGGGCTTGGACTTCCAGCAGGCATGCGTGAGCGTGTTTGATAGGAGTGAATGGAGACAAATGGTTTTTAATACTTGACGTGCTGTTGGAGTGTGAGCAAAGTAACATTTATGAAGGGGTTCAGGGAAACCGGCAGGCCGGACTTGAGCCCTGGAGATGGGAAGTACAGTGCCTGCACTCTGAAGGAGGGGTGTTAATGTTGCAGTTTAAAAACTGTAGTGTAAAGCACCTTTCTGGCAAGACAGTGATGGAGTGAATGATGGTGAAAGTTTTTCTTTTTCAGGCCACCCTGCCTTGGTGGGAATTGGCCAGTGTGATAATAAAAAAAAAAATAGCTTACCTTTTGCAATTGTTCTTGTAGTGAATACTTTTTTGCTAACCTATGAAATTTTTTTCAGGTTTGAGATGGAATATACCAAAAGACCACGTATTCTTCGGTATCACAAAGCTGCTGTCCGTTGTGCAGCCTATCATCGCAAATACCCACTATTTGCTTCAGCCTCAGATGAAGGACGGGTTATTGTTTCACATGGAATGGTCTACAAGTAAGTTTCATTGTCATCTTCAGATACTTAATACGTAAAACTAAATTTGTCACTAATATTAATGTGCTGCGATTGTGGCTGATCAGATGCCACAGTAGTTGCTTTGAGCTGTGTATATGAAGAATTTAACCCCTTAACTGTCCAAATGTAGATCTACGTTCTTACTGCTGGCGCTTCAAACATAGATCAACGTTTTATTTTTCCTGCCTCCAAATCTGGTACGATTGGCCTGAGATGCCTGGTCAGCATAGAATGAGTTTTTACACTTGGTGTGCACAGCATTAAAAAAAATCTGGGACTACTTAGTACAGTAGGGCCCTGCTTTACGGCGTTCCGCTAATACGGCGATGTCAAATTATGACCAAAATTTGCTATACTGCAAGCAGTTTTTCACGTTTGTTTACGTTCTCCGTGACCACATCTATTATGTTTGGAAACTTTCAAAAATTTCAAGTGTTTTACAATTATTGCATATTTTATATGTACTCGGATAATTATACTTATGTGTACCTGTACCTAAATATACCTACACACCGTGCTGGTGTACAGGTACACATTAAGTAAACACCAAACACCAGGGATTCACTAATGCCATGTCATATTAACACTCTCCTTTTAAGAGGAAGGTGATGTTGACCCTGAGTTTAGTGGCTTTGAGATGGATGTGGCCAAAAAGTGGCCAAGGAAATAGGAAAAACCTCGATAATAACCCATGTGCAACATTTGTGCAAAATCCTTTCAATTTTGATACCACTGATTGTGTCATCCTGCCAGAATGTTTTATAACCTATGCCCTGAGTAAAGAGAAACAATTCTGGAACGTGCATTGTGTGTTCGACAGGCTGGCTGGCTGGCCAGGTGGGTGGGTGGCTGATTGACTTTGGCTCTCTATCTGTCTGTCTGTATCTATCTCTGTCTCACAGGTACACATAAATACAATTATACATAGTGCAAATTACCTAGGATAACCCCAAAAAATCCAGACAAAGTGCTATACTGTGTTTGTAGATGTAAGGCATAATAAGCATGACTGGCCCAAGTAATACCCATTTTCACTTATTCAGGAATCAGACATGACGACTCAGCATCGTGTGTCGTACCTGTTAGTTCATGAGCAGCTCTCTCTCTTGAGACAGAAAGAGAGATAAGCATACACAGAAACAGGAAAACAGACAGAAAGACAAATAAGCAAAGACAGAGCTAGACAGACTGACTGACATGTTTATGTGTAGCAGTGAAAACACATAAAGCCAAGGCAATGCACACTCATCAAATGTCACTCCACTGTTGCACTGTCAGCAGTGAAGTATCACTCATGTTACACTGTTCTTCAAGGAGCTTTATATATACTCCAGCATGTCTAAAACATTGCTGGGACCTTTAAATATTTTGTATATATTTCTATACAATGGTATGTGACCAAGGCAAGTGAAAATGTTCACCTGTCAGTGTGTTTGTGGCTATTTGAGTACTATTTCAGTGTCTACTATTAGCGTCAGAGAAAACTTTGGCTTTGAAATCAGAAGAACTACTACAAATTGTAATTATCAGAACATAATTTTTTTTTTTCCTCCAAAATATTCAGGGTGCTGGCAGTGAGAACGTAGATCTACGTTTGGACAGTTAATGGGTTAATACAACTAGGGATGGTAAAAGTAGCAAAGGCTGTGGGTACATAATAGGTTGATAGCAGCAGTCCAGGGCGGTACTACTATTCTTCAGTGTGTGTGAAATGAGAGCCTGTTAAATGTTTTGCACTGGCTAGGTTTTTGGTCTTTTCCTGTAAAATGACAAATCTTTCAGAATATGTGGGCTTCTTATTATTTTTTTTAACACATCGGTCGCCTCCCATCATTGACCCATCATTCAACACCCTCACCTCATACATAATCACTGTCTTTACAGAGGTGCTCAGATATGACAGTTTAGAAGTCCCTCCAAACTGCCAATATCCCAAACCCCTCCTTTAACCCCTTGACTGTTGCAACCCCAAATCCTGAGGTGTCTCCTGGTGTCGCAAAATTTAAAAAAAAAAAAAAATTCTTATGAAACAATAGAGAATCTTTTCCTGATTGTAATGACACTAAAATAATTAAATTTGATGGAAAACTGACAGAATTACGCTCTCGTGAAGTTAGCGACCTCGGCGATATTTACGAGTCGGCGATTTTGCCCACTTTGAGCTCTATTTTCGGACAATTCCATTGTTCCAGTCGACCAAACTCATAGCTATTTCTTTAGAACTCCATTTTTTCTATCGATTGAGTATAAGAAACTGCCTATTTACCGATTTCAACTACCCAATAACATGGTCAGAAATTTGCAATTTGGCCAATTTCACGAAAATTAAAAAATGACAATTTCAAAATAGGGTCCGGAATGAACAATGCAGACATTTCTGGCTCTAAAATAACATTTTCTGTTCATCAGTCACATCTCCAGTCCCCTCTGATATTACTCTTGCTTTCTATTCTGAATTTTTATTCAAACAAAAAATAAAAGATTTACTGTTATGCAGACTACTGCAATATTGTAATGATTGTATAAATAATGTCAACCTATTCATGACTGCATATTTGAATGGCTAGTTGGACATTTATTGGACAATGACATCATTTGTTTACTTTTGAACATCGGCAAAAATCAAACGCTTGCCTTACTTTGAGCTCCATTTCAAGGTTCTTTTCATAGTAAAACCAATCAAAATCACCTCTATTTCTATAATATGTTTTCCATTCTATCAAATGAGACCAAGAAAACGAGAATGCAATCATAAATACTATACGAAAATAGACCACAAATCCAGCATTTTAATTAAAAAAATTGGTCGGATTTTTTTTCTCATTATGCACTGCATGCTGCAGGATTTTTTTTATATGGTGCACACTGACCACACAGACCAATTCTCTCACATGTGGGCCTACCAGCTTTCTCCTGCTTGATTTGAAGCCGCTAGAATTTATGAGTATATATACGACCGAATTAAAGGTGAATACAGGAAAGAGTAAGGTTATGAGGATAACAAAAAGATTAGGTGATGAAAGATTGAATATCAGATTGGAGGGAGAGAGTATGGAGGAGGTGAACGTATTCAGATATTTGGGAGTGGACGTGTCAGCGGATGGGTCTATGAAAGATGAGGTGAATCATAGAATTGATGAGGGAAAAAGAGTGAGTGGTGCACTTAGGAGTCTGTGGAGACAGAGAACTTTGTCCTTGGAGGCAAAGAGGGGAATGTATGAGAGTATAGTTTTACCAACGCTCTTATATGGGTGTGAAGCGTGGGTGATGAATGTTGCAGCGAGGAGAAGGCTGGAGGCAGTGGAGATGTCATGTCTGAGGGCAATGTGTGGTGTGAATATAATGCAGAGAATTCGTAGTTTGGAAGTTAGGAGGAGGTGCGGGATTACCAAAACTGTTGTCCAGAGGGCTGAGGAAGGGTTGTTGAGGTGGTTCGGACATGTAGAGAGAATGGAGCGAAATAGAATGACTTCAAGAGTGTATCAGTCTGTAGTGGAAGGAAGGCGGGGTAGGGGTCGGCCTAGGAAGGGTTGGAGGGAGGGGGTAAAGGAGGTTTTGTGTGCGAGGGGCTTGGACTTCCAGCAGGCATGCGTGAGCGTGTTTGATAGGAGTGAATGGAGACAAATGGTTTTTAATACTTGACGTGCTGTTGGAGTGTGAGCAAAGTAACATTTATGAAGGGATTCAGGGAAACCGGCAGGCCGGACTTGAGTCCTGGAGATGGGAAGTACAGTGCCTGCACTCTGAAGGAGGGGTGTTAATGTTGCAGTTTAAAAACTGTAGTGTAAAGCACCCTTCTGGCAAGACAGTGATGGAGTGAATGATGGTGAAAGTTTTTCTTTTTCGGGCCACCCTGCCTTGATGGGAATCGGCCGGTGTGATAATAAAAAAAATAAAAATAATATATACGACCGAAACAGCCAAAGGGTTAAAGTGCAGGCATTGTACTTCCCATTTCCAGGACTCAAGTCCGGCTAACCGGTTTCCCTGAATCCTTTCACAAAATATTACCCTGCTCACACCCCAACAGCTCGTCAGGTCTCAAAAACCATTAATCTCCATTCATTCCTATCTAATACCTCTTCAAGGGGGGCTCTTTGGCGTGGTGAAGAGGCTCTTCGTCTCAGGAATTAGACCTGTCGGTCTCCTTCCTCAGACCGAACCTAATTACCCCCCAATCCCCCCTTCCCTCTCCCATCCTCCCCTTTTTCCTTTCCTCCTCCTCCTCCTCCCCACCCCTCCCTTTTGCCCTTCCTTTTTGGCCTTTGGGATTTTTTCCCACAGGCACGCTAGTTCCTAGGTAGGGGAAAGGGTACCGAGGTCCATCCCATTCTGTTGAGGTTCTTGGCGGTGGCGTAGTTTGCCGTGGAATCTGGATTGCCTGGGGATGTCCCGATCCCTCTCCGGTATCCCGGAGGGTGGCTTTGGGTGTCTTTTGGGCGACGGGTGTATGTCTAGAAGCCACCTTTCGGATTCCGGGGGTGGTGGCTGAAGGAGGTATGCTTTGTGGCGGATATCCGGCCGCCCTCTTTTTTGTCCACCGAGGTAGCTCAGCAGATGTGAGGTTGCTATCCCGGATTGCTGGTTTACTGGCATGATGGGTAGGGTATGGCACAGATTCCATGCTGCATCTGCGCTACTTGCGGTGCTGAGGTCCTCTTGGGCACGGAGGGAGATTTCTGGCCCTTTCATTCCTCCTAGGAACTCTCTCTCCCTGGTCCCCCCTTTTTTATTCTTTTTTTTATTTTTATTTTCTTTTCTTCTTTCTTTTTTTTTTTAAAACAAAAAGAAAGAAGTAACCTAACCATGGCAGCCCTAGTCCCTGAACCTGCTACCCCCAGGCCTCTTCTTGATACTGCACCTCGTTCTGACCCCGCCTCGTCTTTGGACCGCTCTTCGGACACTCCTAATGCCTCTGTACCTCTTGCTGGTGCTGTTTCCTCACCCGCTTCAGGTACTGAGGTCTCGACTGACTCCTT